GCGGGCCGCGCGGCCCATGTGAGCGAGCGGCGGTGCCGGCCCCGGGACGCGGGACCACCTGCCTGCGCTCTGCGAAGACGGCGTGGGCGCCGAGTTGTGACCGAGGGGCAGACCCGATCCCCAGGCACCGAGGACCGAGCGTTTCCGCGAACCGTTGGCACCCAGAGCCGGGCCCCAGAGCTGCCCGCTGCCTGCCCCCCGCTCCCCGGGAGACCTGAAACGCGGGTTCTGGGGCGCCGTCCCCAGCCGGTTTGGGGAGCCACGTCTTAAAAACTGCCCTTATTTCCTGAGAGAGAAGGGGGCTGGTAGGCCCCCGACAGCGCAGGGGGGCTCCAGGGCGCACAGGGAGGCTGTGGACCCGGGCAGCGACGACCTTGCGGCCTCGGCCCCCCCGAAATGGAGGGTTCCCGCGGCCACCGCCCTCCCCCCAGAGCCGCTGCGGAGCCGCTTGCAGTGCCAGGCCCTGAGCTGCTGCTCTGAGCCGCACCAGGTCACCGCCCACCCGTTGTACAGACGAGGAACCTGAAGCTTCCCTGCCCCGTGGCCCCTGCCGTCTCTCCTGGCCCTGTGAGGAGCTGGCACTGAACGGGGACCTTCTCAGGTGTCCCCCACCCACCTGTGAGCCCCGAGTGGAGTGCGCTGCTTCAGGAGTTGTGTCCTGGAGGAGGAACCAGGGTCTGTAGGCCCAGACCTGGCGGTTTACAGTCGGGAAAGTAGGTGCGGTGGAAGCTGGAATGGGAGGAGGCTGGGCAGGCTGCACGTGGGGCTGGGAGCCTGTGCTAATCAAGTCCCTGAAGGCAGTTGGGTTTTTGACAGTGCTGGCCGGGAGCAGTGATCCTCAAGGTGGAGGAACCGGGGCAGCAGGACAGTGAGTGAGGCCCTTGCAGCTGGTCTGGGGTAGAGGTGTGCCTGCAGTGTGGGGAGAGGCGAGGGGCTGAAGCGAACGCCCAGCTGGGAGAGGACTCACCTCCAGGCCGTGGTGTGTATAGGGGTGACCAGCGCCCTTTGGCACAGGGTTACGGGGCATTTGAAAGCCTGCTGGGGACATAGAGTTTAGGAGACCCCAGCTTTGGCCATGAGCGGCCTCGTTCGTTCAGACTTTGAGCACCTGCAGTGATGGGGCTGGAGAACTGCGGCAGGAGCCCCCCCAGTGGTGATGTCAGCAGCTATTCACAGGGGCCCTGGATGCCCCCAGCCACCCTGCTGTCTCTGTGTCCTTGAGAAGGGGGCGAGCCTCCACAGCAGCCACCCACCCACCAAGGGCCTGGGGGTGCCTTGCCCACAGAAGTGTCTGAAAGCTAGGCCCTGATGCACCCA